ATAGAAGACTAAAGAACTAAGATGATAAAAATCTATATAGAAATTCCTAAATAAAGAGATAGTATGAACTTTTGATAATACTATTATATTAGTTAAAGCATATGAAACATTTTTATAGAAACTGAATGTTAAAACCAGACAATAGATCTGTAAATTGATAATGTAATTGTTAGTACTTTTGGATCTTAATCACAAGGTTACAAGTTCAAGTTTAAAGGATAACAAAAACTTTACTAGAACTATGATTAAAAAAGATTTGCAAAGAATTTCTATTTAAAAAGTAAAAACAAAATTTATATAAAAAAAAATGCAGTAATCAGTATAACTATAGAGTTAAAAACAACCAAATAAAATATAATTTGTTAACAAATAATATTAATATTGAGAAAGCCCGATTTAAGAATATATAGAATTGAAAATATTAAAATTTACAGATAATTTGACTAGTAAGTTATATGAAGTTAGAAAACTATAGATTAAAAGAGATAGTAAATCCTATACTGTGAAACTAAGAATCTAAGATATTATATAACAGACTTAATAAAGCATAAGTTATTTTATAATTTGATGATATACAAGAACTATATGCTGTTTAATAATTTTTGCAAAATAATAATTCTGAACTTTAAGAAATAATGATAGGTTCTAAAAATATCTAAAAATCTTTAGTATAATAAAAAAAGATAAAGATAAAAAAAAAAAAAAATCAAATAACAAATATGTGTAAAAGAACATATAATTAACCAAGCTACTAAATTTACTAAAAAAAAAGAATACAGAAATATATCATACCAAGCTATCTGAATTAGTAATTTGAAATAAAATTAACAGTTCCAAATTGCAGCTAATAGAGAATGATAAAAAAAAATACTAGAAGTACTAGGGTTTTAGTAAACTTTACAAGAGTAGAAACAGTGTAATGTAACAGTTAAACAGATAACCTTTGTAACTGCAAGTATTAGGTAACTATAATATATTGCATAAAACTAGGTAAAATATAAAAGCTTTAGTAAATTTTCTGTCAAGAATAAAATAGTTCTAAAGGTACTAACTAGCATCAGAAACTTGAATAAGTGTAGTTTTAAAAATGTTTTTATAATATAATAAAAATTGCATATGCAAAGGGTTTAAATAAACAAGACTCCTAATTGACTTGCAAATATGGCATCTAGTGTAGAACATATATATTAATGTATAAGTAGACTACTTAAATCCTATATATTTGAATAAAAATGTTACAATCTGAAAATAGGAACTTTAATATAAAAAATAAAATAAAATAAAAGTTGTTTTTTAAGTCAAGATGATTCTAATAGTAGTAAACTAATCAAAAACAGTCCAATAGTTCATCCGTAATATCTGTTCAAAGGTTTACAACCTTTGTTTACCTTTGTTTACTTTTTGTCTAAAAGACATTACTGTTAAGGCATAGAGCACCTGATGTGTGCACAAATTACGGATTTTGATTGGCTAGATCAGGTGTAATGTAAAAAATCAAAACAACCAATACCGATACAAATATTTATTGGCTAGATCAGTGTAACATAAAACAAAAATCCTTCGGACTTTGAATGGTCTCCATTTTCCTAGTGTTTATATAATTTGTAAACAAATGTTACAAAACTTTGAAGAGGTATTACGGGTGAGCTACTGGACCGTTTTTGATGATTTACTACAGTTCGAATCGTCTTAACCTGAAGAACAACTTTTTGTTAAAGCCAAAAAATAGATTCACTTATATCAAACCGGTTTCGAAGCACTTTTTACTTATTCATCTTTTTTTATAAAGATGCGCGTTAATTCTGGACGCCCATGGGCGTTAATTTGAAGCTACTTATACTATTTTAGGGTATCTGATTTTCGAATTAACGCTCCTGGGCGTTATTTCGCGCTTATACGGTATTAAAATATTATATATATTTTTATTATAACATATATTTAAATTAAAACAAGTTTATATTAACATATTTAAACTCTTGAAAATTTTATATGAATCTAATTTAATAAAAAAAACCAATAGCAAAGTATCTAATTCTATTTCTGATGATGATAATGATACCAAAAAATCTACTAAGAGTATTTAACTTTCTGAAATACTTAAGTTTTAAAATTTGTTTTGTTTTAATTAAATTTTTGGGATAATGTCTATATTAAAAAATAAACAAAAATAAAATCTATTATATAAAAATAATATCGATATGTATATAATGTTATGGTAACGCTATATGTGTGCTGTAGTGTCACCGTTATATTATACATAATTCATTTAACGTTATCGTTATAATTATATTAATTAGCCAATGCTCTTGCGCATGATCGATCTCTCATAATTCTCTTTACGTTCGAACATTTTTATAGCAAACCTTTTTTAGCAAATTTATATAGAAACATAGTAAATTACTTTTATAAAGAACTTTTAAAGGCTTTACTATAAAAACTGATAGTTCACTCTAGAAAGCTAACTATATACTTCCTTTTCTATTCATATTTGACACATTCCTTTTCTATTCGGTTGTTATTCACAAAATATAAGTAGCTTTATATGTAGAAATGCAAGAAAATATGATAAATGAATGATTACAACTTACCCACATTATAATGAAATCTCAAGCTGGGAACAAAAATCTTCACTGTAATTTATATTGAGAGAATACTAAATACACTTTCACTATAACAAGAATGATCTGTATTTGGGCAGACTAGTTTTTTTAATTATTTAACTCGCGAGTATATTTCAAAATTCTACAGCCTCTATCGAATTATTAATACAGATTCATTTATAAACCCGAAACTTACTATAACGAACTTCTTTAGAATGATCCCTGGATATAACGAACGTGAACTTTTAAATTTATATTGGGTAGTTTGTTTTAGGACTCTACAGTCTTTTATAGCTTTCATTAAATTATTTATTTGTGTTAATTTGGTTTATGAATTCAGATTAGTATGTAAATCCAATCACAGCCAAAGCTTGCTATAATGAACTTTTTTATAATAAATCCTAAATATAATGAATGTGAAAACTTAAATTTATATTGGTTGTTTGCAAAGTGTGGATTTTGTATATTCGATAATTCGATATCATTTGTACAATTTAATTCAAGGTTTAGAATATGTCTAAATGTTTATTCTGGACTATTGATAGTGAGTCTTTCTCTTATATAACAATTAAGAAAGCCTTCCTTTTAAAAAAAAGCTTATTGTATTTGTTGCAAAATTACGCTCGGGCGTTATTTTTAAGTGCACAATTTCCAGTGAACTAAAACTAATCTTGACGAATACAAACAATAAGTTTTTTTAAAAAAATATCTGTAAAATTAATTCTTGGCTCTCTGGAAATTGTGTCTCCAAATAACGGCCTGGGCATTATTTTGCGACATATTCAATAAAATAATAATAAGAAAAGCACTAAAGTAAATTTTGAAATCAAATTTCCGGAGAATTGTAAGGTCGTGGAATCACGTGACGGATCCCTCGATTTGTGGTAACCTTAACGTTAATTAAATTTCATAATGGCACCTGGCTTTAACGGTTCCTTTTATTTGGAACGTTCCTACCTCGATCCCTAAATTTCAAAATACAACTCCAATATAATCCGTCCGATCTTTTAATAAAGAACGGTTATAATGGTTACTTAAACGCGGTTGCACTATTATTTGTTTAATATTAATTCATAAATAACTCAATTCCGAACTGGGGAAATCAATACATGACACAACAAACCTACCCGATTTTTCCAGTAAGTTATTAAGTTGTAATCCCAACTAATCTATTTTTATTGATAACCAAATAATCGATTAGTTGATCAATCGATTGATTTTTAAAAGTTCAACTCAATAACACTATTGTCGGGTCCAGTCAAAACTTTTCTTAAATCGAAATTTTCTTAAAGGCTTTTTATTATAAAATGTTCAATCGGATCTTTGTTATGTCAAGAGTTTCTTATATCGAAGCTTTCTCATGCCAAGAGTTTCCTACTTTGCAGCTTTCTTATCTCGAGAGTCACTTGTATAACTATTATTTCTATTTTAGTAAATTCTAATCACAAATAAACAATTTATTGAGGTCATACAAAATTAATTTTATAACAAAGTTTAAAAAAGCCAACCGGATAGTAGTATCCAGTCAAAAAATTGATTTGAAATTTTGCAGGCCCGGGTTATGAGAAATAATTTATTGTAAATCTAAGCTTTATGCCTTGTAACATAATTGTAGACAATAAATAATCTTCGAATTCTTTGGATTAGAATTAAAACAACATATAACTAATCACCTAAATTCATACACAATATGCATTATGCTTTACCATAACCTTTAATGTCATAGTGCAAATAAATTGAAGTTATATAATTACCGTTACGACATCCGTAATAGTTCCGAAATTTCAATGATCCTTTTTTTTTTAGGTTTGTATCACTTGCTTGTTATGAGTATGTACTTCAAAAACACTTGTTATTCTTTTTACGATAATAAAAGCTCAGTTATATACTACGTATACTTCAGGTCTATTATAGGGTTTAAAATTTGTGAAATGTAATAGACCCAGTCTTGTATATGAATGTTTACGGTAACTTAATCATTCAACAATTAGTTGCTTCGAGAAAGTTTTTATGATTTGATCTGCAATTTAGTTGAATCGAGATAGAGCTGAAACCGAATAGTATTATATATTGTTCATTTATCCAGCTTTAGTATATCTAAATATAGAAAAAGATGATAAATATTAGGCCAAATGTAATTTATTCTCTCAACTGAAATACGGAAATACATTGATACCTCGTGCGAACTTAAAAATGAGTCCAATAGACTAACGCTAAATAATTTCTATATATGTAATTTTAATTTCCTTCAAGGAAATTAGTTCATTGCTTATTGGTTATTTATATTTTGTATCACACACAAGTATAAATTATAGCCACGATAAACGTTCCATATAAATTTCTAGTAAACTCCAAACATATCTCGCAAGAATCTAATAGAGAGGTTTCAAAATCTACACGATGTCGTGGTCTAGATCTCTCGCAATTGTTTGCATTTGTTTTTTCCTATTTTCAACACATACTTTCGCTTTCTACCTACCTGGAGTTGCACCTCATGATTACTCGGATGGTGAAGATGTAAAGGTGTATGTCAACTCGCTCACTCCGTTGATGGGAAGTCAACAGCTCAAATCCTTGATTCCATATGACTATTATTACAAACCTTTCCACTTTTGTGCACCAGACAACCCACAGAGTCAATCGGAATCCTTGGGCAGTATTTTGTTTGGTGACCGTATTTTTGACTCATTATATAAGGTATTTTTTAGATGATCCAATACTGGAATTAAAAAATGATGAATCTATTTAATTAACATATTGTTATTGACTAAATTATTAAATCAAAATCTATTTACGTTATTTACACTAATTAGCTTAAAATGCTTAAACAAAATGGGACCTGTCAATACCTTTGTAGCGCAACAGTTCCTGGTGAAGATGCTGCATTCATCAATGCGCGAATTAGAGAGAATTATGCGATTAATTGGCTTATAGATGGACTTCCTGCTGCTAGCAAAAAATTAGACGTGAAAGCTAAAACGATATTCAATAGCATTGGATTCGAATTAGGTGATTCAACGGCTTCTTTCAATAATCCCCCATTGCACAATCATTACGATATCGAAATTCAGTATCATAAACAAGAAAGTCAACTTAAACATCGTGTCGTTGGTGTGATCGTTACCCCTACCAGGTATGCAACCTTTTTGACTTTTGATCCACCATTTTTTTCAATTTATATTTATAGATTTATGGATTATTAGCAATAAATATGACTCGGAAGACACTGCAAAAACTTGTACTACTACTAGTGAACGTTTAATTTTGGATGAGAAGAAAGAAAATACTGTGCATTACACTTATAGAGTCGTGTGGACAGTGCGTTTACTTTAGATTATATTATACTATTAAAAAATGCCTATTACTTTAAAATTTGATTATTAACACAATTTATTATTTAGCCTTCAAAAATAGCTTGGGCGACACGTTGGGATAATTATTTACATACTTTTGATCCAAGGATTCATTGGTTTAGTTTGGTCAATTCCATCGTAATTGTATTGTTCTTGACGGGTATGGTGGCTATGATATTGCTTCGCGCATTGCACAAAGATATATCTCGGTATAACCAATTAGAAGCGCAAGAAGATGTACAAGAAGATTTTGGTTGGAAATTAGTTCATGGAGATGTATTTCGCACGCCGGCAAATGTTATGTTGTTGTCTGTTTTATTGGGAAATGGCTCTCAACTATTTTGCATGACAACTGTCACTCTTTGTTAGTAAAAATTATTGTTTTATTAATTTATTCACTTTTTTTTTTGATTGATTTAATTTAAATAACGGTTTTATTTTATTTTTATTTTTCAGTATTCGCTGTTCTTGGCTTCCTCTCACCATCAAACCGTGGTTCTCTTGCTACCGTTATGATCATCTTTTACATGCTTTTTGCATTCGTAGCAGGATATGTTTCCGCACGTATTTATAAGATGTTTGGTGGTGATGCTTGGAAGAAAAATGTTTTCTTGACTGCATTTTTATTCCCTTCGTGAGTATGAAAAATTCATCTACATGTTTCTATTTTTAATAGCATGAAGTTAATATTGTCCATATCATTACTTTAAAACAGGGTTATATTCAGTATTTTTATTCTCTTAAACTTCTTCTTGGTATCAGCCAAATCTTCCGGCGCAGTCCCCGCAACTACATTATTGGCAATAATAGGTCTATGGTTTTTAATTTCCGTTCCTTTATGTTGTATCGGATCTCTCTTTGGATTCAAAAAACCGGTACATATTTTATCAACTTACCAATTTACTCTTTACAAAAATTTTAATGGTTACATTTTATTTATTTGTATTTAGAGAATCGACCATCCTGTTCGAACAAACCAAATTCCGCGTCAAATTCCAGATCAAGTATTTTACCTTCGTCCAATACCCTCAATGCTCATGGGAGGTGTCCTCCCCTTCGGGGCCATTTTTATCGAGTTATATTTCATAATGAATAGTATATGGGGAAGTAAAGTGTATTACTTGTTTGGATTCGCCTCTTTGGTATTTGTAATTCTTACAATTACATGTTCAGAAGTAACAATTCTTCTATGTTACTTCCATCTTTGTGCGGAGGTCAGTATAAAATTATTTTATTATTATTTTTCGTATTTATTTATTTCATTTTTTATAATTCTTTTTCGTTTAAAAGGATTATCATTGGTCTTGGAGAGCGTTCTTAACATCAGGAGCATCAGGATTTTACATTTTCGTTTATTCTATTATGTACTTTATGACAAGATTACAAATTAATTCTTTCATCAGTGCGGTAATTTATTTTGGATGGTCAGGAGTAATTAGTTTAATGTTCACCGTTCTCACAGGTTAGTTTCTTGTTTTATTCCTTTTAATGTCAAACATACCATATTCTAACTCAAAGGTGTTTTTAATAGGCACTATCGGTTACGTCGCATGCCTTGCGTTTATTAGAAAGATTTTTATGAGCATCAAAGTTGACTAATCTACACTTTTAGAAATTTTAATGTAAGGAGTAGCCTATGATGGACTTTGTTTTGATGGTTTGATAGGTTGAATATAGAAATATGTAATTTTAAGGAAGATATCGGAAATATTTTATTACAAAATAATCATAACTAAGATAATAATATTTTGTTTTGTATCTATTGATAGGATTATTTGTAATGATTTTGATACGAATATTTTATATCTAGATTATTTTACTATATACTTATTAAAAAAAAAAAATACCATATATAGTATTTGTGTGGAACACACGCTCAGCCATGGAAATCAGTGTAATATCTGTTCGGAGTAATAACCTTTATTTGATAATCTTGAAACTACAATCTTAGATCTTGTTTATGAATTTTCTGCTAGATATTTCTTGCGATGCTTTGTCCTTTAGATAATGCATCCTTTTTCATGGGAGATAGAATTTTCCGTTATTAATCAATGATGGATGTACATGCATTTGAACGTCATTTTGTTGTAATCATGATGTAGATTATCTTTAACGTTAGATCTTATCTCTTGTATTACTCAAACATAAATAAACACATAAATAAACATCATCATTATTTTATATTTGGTCATTTAAGTAATTTCTTGCGTTGTTCCTTCGATTGTTTGTGTTTAGTTGAAATAGATATAAGTACCTCAGCATTCAGGTCTAGTATTTTTTTAAAACCCATATGAGTACTTATAGCAACAATACAAGTGACGACTATATAGCAGAGCAAAGTAAGACTTTATTCTGAGTACTTTTAAGCCAAAAAAAAGCTCCAACGTTTACGTTTAACATTTATTTCCTTTCCTATATAGTTTGGAAATCTCATATTACCTATTAAAAAAATATCGAATAACTTTCTCAGTCAACTGTTGTTTCTATTAAAGATTCTATTTAGTTTCTCTTAAATAAAAATAAAAAACCCTCTCACACCCTTATCTTCACTACAAAATCTTTTACTATGTCTCTACGATTAATGAAGCCCTTTTTCACTCGTAGTTTACTCGCTACGAGTATAAATCTTAGACGTGGTTTAGCTACGGTTACCGATCAAGACTTCGCAAATACTACACCACCACCTGCACCATATGCTGTATCGGTTTCGAACCAGCCTATACCTGCGGCCTTGAAACTAAAGTCTGGTCACGTTTTTCATGGACAGTCCTTTGGTGCGCAGACTCCAGTATCTGGTGAGGCTGTCTTTACAACTTCGCTTGTGGGTTATCCTGAATCAATGACAGATCCCTCGTATCGCGGACAAATCCTAGTTTTCACGCAGCCACTTATTGGTATATAATATTTTTACTTTTTTTTTTTTTTTTTGGTTATCGATATAACAATTAACTCGAAAATAATTTAGGAAATTACGGTGTACCTGGACTATTTAAAGACCAGTTCGGTCTACTCCGATTCTTCGAATCGGATCGTATTCAATGTCAAGGTATCGTCTGCACAGATTATTCCATGCACTATTCGCATTGGAATGCCGTTGAGTCACTTGCGTCATGGTGTCAGCGACATGGGGTGCCTGCAATAACAGGTGTTGACACTCGTGAAATAGTCCATATACTACGTGATCGGGGATCGACTCTAGCTAAATTAGTCACCGGTGACGATGCAACTAATGAGGATTTTGATAAATTTTCTTATGAAGATCCAAACAAGAGAAATTTAGTTGCTGAAGTCAGTACGAAGACACCAGTTTCGTACAATCCCTTCGGAGATGTTAAGATTGGTGTTATCGATTGTGGTGTCAAGTATAATATCTTACGTTCACTAGTCAAACGGGGAGCCGCTGTTACTGTTTTACCATACGATTTTGATTATAATAAAATATCCGATGAATTCGACGGTTTATTCATCTCTAACGGTCCCGGAAACCCTAATTTAGTTACTGATACCGTGCGTAATTTACGCACGGCATTGAATAATTTTGAAAGGCCCATCTTTGGCATTTGTATGGGTAACTTAATCTTAGGACTTTCAGCTGGCCTTAAGGTTTACAAATTAAGGTTAGGTTTTAATTATTTATTTAAAAAACATGTAATATACACTTTTTTCTAATCGTATCTTTTTCTTTCTCAATCAATTTAGGTTTGGTAATCGTGGTCATAACGTTCCAGCTGTTTCTACATTCGATGGAAAATGTTCTATCACTTCCCAAAATCACGGGTATGCACTTGACGATCAAATTATGCCTGAAGGGTGGACCAAATACTTCTTCAACGCCAACGATGGAACAAATGAGGGTATTTGTCATAAGACACTTCCCCGATGGTCAGTTCAATTCCATCCTGAGGCTAAGGGGGGCCCTCAAGATACCGAATTCTTATTCGATGAATACCTTCATCGGGTTCGAGCTGACAAGCTTAAAAGGGTTGGAACCACTGTATTCATTCCAGAAACCGTTGTCACCCCCACCCCCGTCACTCAATTTGCTTGATTCTTCATCTTTTCTTTGGTTGATGAATTGAATGCAATATTAAATCCTTCTTTTTTTTGTATTTTTAATTCAATAATTGATCGTATTTTTCTTTTCCCTTTTGATTCATTTCAATTTTTTTTAAACACAATATTCATATGAAAAAAATATATTTAAATGTAGTTGCTTTAATGTAGTTTTGAGCCCTTTAATAAAAAAGGGTGAAATTAAATAAAGCTTCAAAAAAATGAAAAACAATAATAAATTTCAAATTATAAATCATAAGGAATTTCAATCTTTAAAAAAGCTTTAACCAAAATGAAGGATGCATTCGTAGAAACTGTTAATTTAATAACCCCGTATTTAGCCAATAGTATTTATATTAGGATTTTTATGATAATAATATTAAATAATAAAAAAAAGTTATAGACAACTCATTTTACTCATTTTTCTGGTACGTGTTACTTTTTAAACCAATAACCTAAAATTTTCCATGTTTAACTTAATAAGTGAGGTTACCTAATCCTCATGTTATGAAAATGCTTCTCGCAATGTCTGATATTCTGAAAGAATTACCGGATTTGGACAACTTTTAATCTTGCCCAATCAGATTTGAACAGCACCACAAGTTTGATCGATCGAGTAGGTAGAAAATAAATTGACCGAATTTGCTAAAAAAGAATTTAAAAATTTACTTTCTCTTTAACAATGTTAAGGACATTATTTTTTATACTGGGAACAGGTTTCCTTTTGACAGCAGTGTTTATACTGTCAATTAGTGAGGCAGCAGTAATTGCTGTTGATTACGGGACAAACTGGTTTAAAGTTGGCCTTGTTAAACCAGGAATACCTCTTGATATTGTGTTAAATAGGGACTCGAAACGAAAAACTCCGTCTGTGTTAACCATACGGGGAGAAGAAAGAATTTATGGAACAGATGCAGTAAATCTCGTAAGTAAATTTTTAGTGAATTGGATACACAATTAACGGGAATAAGCAACTTTTATGGCTCCTCAAAAGGAGAAGTTGATATTTTCGGCGAAGTTTTAGCTTGATGATCGAAGAGTTGCACTTATGGTTAAATCAATTTAGGGTGCACGGTTTCCATTTAATACTTACTTTAGTCTCAAACAAATTATCGGACGTCTGGCCGACGATAAATACGCACAAGCATATCAGTCAGTTTTTCCTAACAAGATTATACCAGATCCTTTAAGAGGAACTATATTATTTCAGCATAATGAAACCACAGTCTTTTCCATAGAGGAACTTCTCGCGATGCAACTTTCTCACGCCAGAGAATTAGCTGAAACTACTGCTCAGGAAACTATCAAGGATGTTGTTATTACGGTATATAGAAAATTTTAATCATCGATTTAATATATGAAATTAATGAATCATCTAATTCTGTGATAATACTTGTTAATAAGGTGCCACCTTATTATAACCAATTCGAAAGACAAGCTATCTTAGACGCTGCAAATATTGCTGGTTTACATGTTCTTTCTCTAATCAATGAAGAAACTGCTGGTACGTCTCTGATCGTGTTTTACTGATTGTTTTCATTACAAAGCTTATATTTATCGGAGTTAACTCTAATTTTAATATATAGTGGGGCTAAATTACGCGATCACACATTTTTCATCATTTACTGAAGAGCCCCAATATCATATATTTTATGATATGGGTGCTGGTAGCACAAAGGCGAGCTTGATAAGTTTTAAGACGGTTGAAGTGAAAGATGTAGGTCGTTTCAACAAGACAGTTATCAATTTGGACGTGATTTCGGTTGGATACGATAGGGCTCTTGGTGGACAAGAAATTGATATTCGTCTTCGATCATATTTCGCTGAACATTTTGATAAAACTTTCGAAGGAAAATTAAAAGAATCTATTTTCAAATCTCCACGAGCCATGACAAGGCTACTAAAAGAAGCTAATAGGGTGAAGCAAATTCTTAGTGCAAATACAGAAACCTTGGCATCAGTTAGTAAATTTTATCAAACAAGAGTTATGTTTGTTTCGGTGAATATTTTTATGAATAAACTTTATAAATTTGTAGTTGGAAAATTTACACGAAGAACGCGATTTCCGTCTTACTATAACTCGATCTGAACTTGAAGCAATGATAGTTGATCTTATAAAACGTGTCAATGGGCCGATTCAAGATGTGTTGAATAATGCAAAAATGACTTTGGTAGGAAAAAATTTTAAAATATTTTAAAAGCATAATCAGAATAATTTAGCATATGTTTATATCCCTAGGCTGATATTCATTCTTGTGTATTGGTTGGTGGCGGAGTCCGAGTACCAGCTATTCAATCTATGATTAAAGAGACTGTTGGAGAGTAAGTTTCATATTTAAAACTTTACAAATAGATTTTTTTGTAAAAAATATCATGAAATTAATTATATATAATATCATCTTTATAGGGATAAGATAGCTCAAAATGTGAACGGTGATGAAGCTGCTGTCCTTGGTATTTTTTTTTTTGTTCAGCAAATTTTATGATTGGTTTTATTATTGTTACTATTATTATTATTATTTAACAAATTTTATTAATTTTTATTTCTATTTGACACAAAGGAGCGGCTTTTAGAGGTGCCGGATTAAGTCGTCAATTCAAAGTTAAAGAAATTAGAGTCAAAGACATTGCTTCGTACCCTATTAAAGTTGATTATGAATCTGAACTAAAAGAGTCTGATGACGGTAAGCTCAAAAACATTGGTTCATTTTTTGTTTAATAATGGAATATGCGAGTAGTTTGCTTATTACATATTTTCATAAAGGAACTATGAAAAACAAAGTCTTTCGTACAATATTGTTTGATGAATTTACATCAGTTGGAACTCGTAAAATAATGAGTTTTAAACGCACAAGTGATTTTAATTTCTCATTAAATTACAAATTAAATGAAAATATGTTGAAGGATTTTGGACCAACAGATATTGCTATTGCTAAGGTTACGGGATTATCCGAGGTCGTAAAGAAATATAGTGATAATGATGCAGAACGACCTAAAGTAAAGGTTACCTTGCAGCTATCGGATTCTGGCCTTATGTCTGTAATTGATGCCGGTGCAACGATTGAGCATCAGACAATTTCAGGTACAATTTCATATCCATATTTTCGCGAAATAATAGACATGCATGTTATAATTATTTATACTTCATTTTTCGTGTAACAATCTTTAATGACAGATAAGATAAGGACATTCTTTGGTGTCAATAATAAATCAGACGAAGCACTTAAAGAAGTACCGTTTTCTGATGTGAGTCTTCATGTAATGTTATAATTTCTTCACATATTAATTGAAATTTTATAATCTAAAAATAGGAACCTGCACCTTCGGATAATGCATCACAACCCATTCCGGAGGAAAACAATACACAGATCAACGATACTGAACCAATTCAGAAAAAAGTTGAGACAATTCCACTGAATCTCGAGGTTGAATATGTTGGCATAACGCCTATGGGAATTAATGAGAAAAATGCAGCCATTAAAAGGTATGAATACATTATCTCATTGTTTGATACAAATTTTATTATTTCTATAACGGATTTGACTAACAGGTTACACGCTATGGATGAGACTGATCGCCGGCGCCAAGCACGTGAAGAAGCCAGGAACAATCTTGAATCTTTTGTTTATAATGTGCAAGACTTTTTATCTGATCAAATTGTAATTAAAGTGAGTACCGAAAAGCAACGAAAAGAATTAGCTGCAAAATCGGCCGAAACATCTGAATGGCTGTACGAAGAAGGTGAAGAAGCCCCAATAGAATCCTTGCGAACGCGTCTTGATGACCTAAGGTTCGATACCTAATCAATTCGTTTATTAAAGTTTAATTTAATTAACAATTAATGTATTTAATTTCACGTATTAGGCTACTTGAGAAACCAATTACATATAGGCGTGATGAACACACTCGACGTCCTGAAGCAGTCAGCGCGATTCAATCTGTCATAAATAATACCCGAGGCTTTGTAGAACAAATTAAAGTGAATACAACTATCGAACGGTATCATACGGATGAAGAGCTTGATAAATTATTGAATGTTTGTAATAAGGCGGATAAGTGGCTTGATGAAAAACTGACAGAGCAAGATAAAATTGCGCTTCACGTCGATCCTGTTTTAACTACAGCAGACATCGAAAGAATGTTACGGGAGATAGAACGCGAATTTTTAATTGTAGCTACAAAGAAGCCACCGAAGAAAAAAACAACAGCACCAGTAACTAGCGCTAGCGAAAGTACTAATAACGTTAATAACACCAGTACTAGTAATGTTAATAATACCGATTCTGAACAAAAGTCAACTACAACTCGCATTGATAAAGAAACCCCAGTTAAACATGATGAATTGTAAATCACAATAATTTGAAGCATTGTTAATTTTTGGAACAATATTTATTAATAATACATATTTAATGACATAGAAAAATGTTTTAATAATTATTAACATCGTATAGACAACAGAGTAGTATGAACTCTTAATAAATATTTTTGATTTTCAAAATATTTGCATTTTTTTTTTTTTTTTTAGCTGAATCTACTTAGGTTGTTGAGTCTGATGTGCAAATTACAGACTTTTGATTTGTGTTATGATCCTTTGGACAACACAAACCATTTCAATGCTAGTAAACCTACTTGATATTTTACTAACAGTTTTTCCTATTTTCTTATTCGGGAATATCGTACTTCGCCAACCAATGATAATAGCTTCCATGTGACTTTGTACTAACGCTAATAACAGTTTATATGGCATGATGAATAGTAATACAAATCAATTTGTGACTTGAATTTAGAGATGTGAATAGCAAGGACGACTCCAACAGTCGAATCTTTATCAAAGCTCGATCTAAATCAAACTTGGAACTCCCTGATCAACGTTCTCGAAATAGCGGGCATCTGCACGTTAGTTTGATTACGTGCGCTTTATTTCGGACACGCCCATGGGCGTTATTTCGAGATAAAGTATTAATTTTGGGAACTCTCCCACGCTTTATTTACTGCCATTACCCGATATATTACAGATATAGCATTTTATTTACTGATGCTTATTTATTCGAGGTGCGCGCTATTTCGGGACTCGCATGGGCGTTATTTCAAAATTAACTATGCTATTTTTAAAGGGTACGATTTTCGAAAATAACGCCCATTCCCGCTATTTCGGGAATTTATGGTATAAAACATCATGTTAGGAGTATCCATAATTTACGTTAAACCAGTACTGTGTCTTGTATAAAAATAGGTCCTTGGAAGTAATGCCATGACATTATTTTTTAAAATCCCTATAACAATACTGGTTTAACGTAAATTATGAATGCCCAACCCGCTGGCTTTTAATTCGAACCAATACTATACAGTACTTGTATTATTATTTTTCGTGAGTTGGCGTTTAATTATGAATCTGGTCCGGTCATAAGGACCATTCTGGGCTTGACCATTAAATCATATGAGTCTATCCAATTAAATTAATTTTGTATTGTTATAATCAGTGTTGTCAATTTTTATAAAATTACACAGTTTAATACTAATTATAATTAGTAGTTGACAACTTTTTGTTCTATTTATAAAAATTATTATTCTATTCTAATTTCTATTTCTCTATTTTTATTGTTCTATTCGTTTATTGCTGTCAACACTGGTTATAATAATTCAATTCAGGATCTAAATTCTATAAAATGTATTGTGTTTTCATATGATTTAAAGACTAAGTCTTTCGAGTTCTTACCGGGATTCGGTTGAAACCCGCTTCAAAGGATCAATTAATATCCTTATGTATTGCTACATTACTAATAAACCTTTTCACAGCATCTAATATACGTAAATCAAATATATTTAAAGATATCATACTGTATATATTTCAATTAATAAATTATAATATTTTTCTTGGTTTTAAAATTGCTTTTAATAATTATAAATTATAAAACGCTATTTCTAAAGTAAAAAAAATACTATATATCTAAAAAATAGTAAAAAAAAAAATCAAAATAAGACAGTATTTCTAATTATATTAAATCAATATTATTTTTTAAAATGGTATTTAGTATTTTTTAAATAAAACAATAATTTATTAATACCGTATAGTTCCGAAATTAAGCACCCCTTTTTTGCATGTAGTGCAGGCCAAAATTGTTATAATGCAGGCCAAATTGTGCATAGTGCGGGCCAGGGGTGCTTAATTTCGAAACTATACGGTAATATAAGATATACATTCCTTATAGAATATATATATTCTTTTTTTTTTTAGTTAAAGTTCCTGCCTTTGGGAAATGATGTTTTTATTCAAGTTTTTTTTAATACAGATGCTTTTAAGATAGAGTTTGGGGCACAAATAAAAAATTAGATATGCTTATATGGGCATGCTATTACATATAGGTGGATTTTAGCTAATCTAAGTGATATAAGGATGTGATATCTCAGTGGTTACACTAATTTAATAACAAAGTAATCAATGTTATCTAAACCTTTTTGTTGTCTCTTATGTTCTAAAACTTAATGAAAAAGTCTTTAATATCTTACAAAGTAAATAAACATCTACATAACTGTATCATATCTTATAGTTCTGAGTTTGAGCTTTTCTCTAGCTAATGCTTGTATCAATTTTACTCAGTTTTTCTTGCTAATGTAAAGTCCTATCTTTATACTTACCATTCAGCCCAAGGTTTCAAGCAATTTACTATATACTGTCATAAAAATCTTTTTTTTTACATATTTTACTAAAAACTAGATTTTGAATATTGATCAGCCTAGTGAAAATATAAATGTATATATAAGAGAAAAGACAAATACCAAAAAATCAGTTATATTTTCATGTATCCTGGTTGGAAAGAAAAAAAAACAAAAACAGGAAGTATGATTAAAGTAACAATTAAAAAAAAAGATCCTGAAACATAAAAATAATCAAAACTAAGTTTGGGTTTTTTTAAGAAGAACAAACAACAAAAGAGAAATACAATAAAAAAACTTATATATAAACTTATAAACTTTTAAAGTTTACATTTGAGATTTATAAATAAAATATAGTAAAAAGGGTGTGGCAACTTAGTGAAGTAGATAAGTTGTTAACCTTCCAAGTGGTAGGTTAGAAGTTCAAAACCCACTGATAGTGAAAATTTGGAAAACCACCTATGTTACATCAGTATATATGGCATCTGTGCAATGCTAGAGTTATACAGAGGAATGCAAACCGGCATTGAGCAGTGCAAACACAAGATAAGTCCTTGAAACCAGTATTATGACAACAGCTATCTATCGATCAGTTGGGATCAGTACCTGTAACATGGTCACATCAGATAACTGGCAGGTCATGGAGCATCTGTGGCCATGTAAATCCGTGAACTAGGATAACCGAAAGCCCACTTGGAAAGACTCCAGTAGAGAGGTAATACAGATCTTTG